TGCAATATTCCAATTTTAAATTAAAGTTACTTATCAACTTTCCTTTTTTTGGTCATATGAAGTTAATAATTAATTAGTCGTTTATTAAAAACTTTACTTCCAATCTAAAGTTATAAACTTTTTAAAGTGTTGATTTTTCTATATAAACCCACATATTATTTTGCAGTTCAGGAAGCGCCTTTCATCAGCAGCTCCGAACGAAACAAAAGTCGGTTCTTGACAGCCGCCGCTGACCCTTTAACGTTCAAAGTTGAAAAGGTTCCCATGCAAATGCACGCCCGTGTGTTTACACTGACGATCGAGGAACACACACAAGCGCAGAATTGAGCATTCTATTTTCTGCTATGGTGCACATAAAATATTTATATGCTCGCGTCTGTATGTACCTCCACTATTCGGAACATAAACACATCCTGCCTGCCTTCGGCGCAATTTGAAAGTCTACACGGCTCGTGATTCGATAATAATAATTCAGAGGAAGAGCCTGCTTTTCTTTTTTTCTGGTGCTTTCTGCATAATGTATAGAAAGTGGTGCCTGACAGAGTCACGAAGATGTTATATATCCAGCGCATAAATTACGTCATTCGGCGGCGTAGGCAGGCTAGTTGAATGATAAATTCGATGCAAATTTCATTTGCTCTCCGGGCCAATCATACCCCGGCCCAGACCGCCCCACAATAATAATTCAATCTCGCGTGGGGGCGGCGCACAATTGATTTTTATCTTTTCCTGGGCATGAGAGAGCGGCAGCTGCCTATGCATGGAAATCACTCTCAAATCGGCTTTCTCATGTGAAATTTATTTTTTTATTTTTTATTGCGGCCGGCGCGAGCGATGATGTGCCCAATAAAACAATAAAACGCGGCCGATTGAAATCCACATAGGCTGAATTGCAATAATGCAAGACACACGTCTCATATGGTCAGTTGTATGCGCTAATAAATGAGAAATTAATTTATCAGAGTGGAGCATCTATCTTTATTCGGAATTGAAACAAAATGCGCCCATTCATGACCTCTTCTCTGTAAAATTCTCAAGGGTTGAGCTCATTTATGTGCATATGTTAATATTACACGCTTTTCGCTCCGCCAATTGCCGCTTGATCAGATAAAAAAGTAAAAAAGCGTCTGTTTGGTGGTTTGATTGCGCCTCAAGAGATTTACATAAAACTAGCTTTTAGCGAAACACTCGAGTTTTTTCTTAATTAAATCTGCAGCATATCGATGCTGTATTAAATTTCAAAGAAATCATAAATCCTAATCAGGGATTGAATGTTCTCAAATTTAAAATTGTATTAACATCAAGACTTTCAAAATTTACAACGTACAAAAATGTTTCTTCTCATTATGAATCGCTAAAAAATAATTATATAGAACTCGCAATTTGCAAATTCAAAACTAAATCGGAGATCTTTTGAAACCCTAGACTGCGTTCAATTATATGAGTGGATTTGAAAATTGATCTTATTTAAATATATTGATGTAATTCAACCCCACAAGCGTATTATATTTACATTTAAAAACTGCAGTTTTCATTTTTGATATTTGAATCTCTCGTTTATTTTCATCTCCCGAATCCATTTACTGAAAGTGGCGTCAAATCCAATAGCAATAATCACAATCAGCCAGTCGCTCGGCCTTTTTGAAAAAGGAGAATGTGACGTTAATTACTGGCCGAAAGTGGCAGCTGCCGAGAGCAGCCGTGCTGGTGATAAACTCCCACCCACCCACAATCACCGAGCCATCTCTCTCTCTCTGGTTGATATATATTATTTTATTTCCACCGAATTTCGATCCATTATGCTCAAACTTTTGGCTGCTGGCGTTGATTGTTTAATCTTGATGGTCACCTCTTTCAACTTGAGGCCGTTTATGACGACCGCACCTTTCGTTATTATCACCGTGTATTTTTAGTCTATTATTGAGTTGCAGATGTCCACTTTGGACCCCATTGTGGGAGAGAAAGTGGCATGCGGCGGGGTCATTTTTATATGCGAAAAATAAATTTTCGTGTCCAGCAAAGGGATTTTGGTCATTGTTGCGTTTATATTAATGCGAGGGTGGCGCCCATTGTACGTGGGTGTAATAAGGTCAAGCATCTGTCGCCCCTTTGTGCCGATTTTGTGATTGCCCTCTGTCAAGAGATGTGAGTGGACAAGCTGACCGGCAGCAGCCGCGTTATGAATTTATTTTGCTCAGCTCCGAGGGGTGAAAATTGTGTGTGTTTGTTATTGATGTGGAGCGGAGGATAATGCGAGGGAAATGGGAATGAAATTTTATTTGATTTTCTCTGCCAAATGGCTTGGTTCTTCAGATTAACCAATTTTCTGAATAAATTTGTGTTTTAATATTTCAACTTAATGCACTAATAAAAAATTTTCAAGTTTAAAAAAAAAAATGAACTAGAAAATTAATTATTCGAACGGAAGCTTCCACTTTGTCAAATTCCCCGCTCGAGCTCTCTATTTTGGCCGAGATGCCGCGAGGGTGGAGTCGCTCCATTAGTTCATAATAAAGAGATGGAACTTGTTTTACTGCTGTCGGCCGTTATGGCTTTCGTCCGTTCTGCGTTATTTTCCGCATCGCGCGCCTCGTCTCATTTTCCCAAAGACTCCCAGCGGCTTCTTTTATTTGTTATGAGCCGCCGACTTATTATTGACGATATGGTCCGACTGACCTCAGCTATTAACTCGCACTGCCGCTTATCACGCAGAGAGATGCGCGATATTATTATTGCTCTTATTTCGGCCACTGGCCCCGGTCACGCTCTTCGTCGCAACAAGAAGAGAAAAAAAACACCCCTCTCTTGTATAAGACTTTTTCCATCTGCGAATAGAACCGAGTGCCCATTTTCGGTTATTGCTCGTCTGCGGCCGTTGTGATTATCCGCACGGGGCTAATTAGCAAATGAAATGAACGGAAATGTGCGACCAGGGCTTTTGGTCGATAAGAAAAGGACGCTCAGGATTAATTATTGTAAAGGGCGGTTCCAATAATTTTGTTGCAAAAGTTTTGACTGTTCTTATTTACTGAAAATGAAATGGTAAAGCCAAAAAATAACTTCTTACTGAAAACAAATTTATTTTTAAATTTATAAAATAAATATTAAATATTAACCATTAAATTTATTATATTCGATTCCAAGTCATCGAAAAATTTTGAATCATGAGCCATTGCTAATTATTTAAAAATGCTTTATTCAAACTATTGAAAAAAAACTTTCATCGAATGAAAAAATATTCAAAAGTTTTAATTGAAAAAATCTTGATACTTTTGAAAAATGAAGCCATCAAGCTGCCTTGAGCTGAATTCGATCAATCACATTTGCTCTCAAATTGCGCAAGTATATCGATTTCTCGCAGTTAACAGAAGTTTCTTATACATACTCTTATAAGCACGACCAACTCTGTCAGTTCTTTATTATGGTCCCAAGTCAGTGACAAATGACGCTGCGGCCACAAAGTCACTCAGGCTGCAGCGAAACCCGGGCAAAGCTCGATGACAAACCGCTCTGCTGGAAAAATGCCTCGGCCAAACAAGAAGAATCTTTTGATATAAAAAAGCTGCCGCCATTTTGGAATATGATTTCACGCTGTGCGCGCCGCGGTTATAAAAGCAAAAATACAAACACATAAGTTTATATCAGAGCTGGTTGGCTGGTGATGGCATGAAAAAGCGCTTTTTTCTCTCTCTCTTTTATTGGACGAGCAGAGCAAATTTAAATAATGTCGCGGTTTTGGTCCGAGAGAGAGACCAGAAAGCACGCAGCCTTGTACAGAGGAAGGTACACGCCTGAGAAATCAAAAGGCCGCGCGGTGATGTGCATGGAAATCAATAGCGCCGGAGACAATAAAATAATATCCAGCGGCTCCCCTGCTCGTTGGCCAAATAACAATACCTGCGCTGCCTGGGCGTATGTATATAAAATAATAGTATGTCGGAAAAAGGGAGAAAAAAATTTGTATATATTCGCGTGTGTATTTTATTTCTGCAGCAATCGCGGCGGCGGCGGCGGCGGCCTCCCATGGCAGCGCAAAACGCGCCATAAGTTTTCAACTTACAAGCGCGCGCTCTCTGAGAAAAAGCAGCAGGCAGAGCATAAAATAAAACACTGCATATGGTATTAATGCCTGACAAGTTGGCCCGACCGACCACTATTATAATAAACGTGGCGTATACACTCGCTCCAGCATATTAGAGGAGCATTAATAAAAAATTAGCCGGCGTGCGAGGATAATAAATCGCGGGCTCGAACACAATCAAATCACGACTAATATGCGCGGCCGCCGCTATTATATTTCTATGAAGGGAGAGAGAAATCGCTCCAGCCGAGAGAGAAAGAGCCCATGGGAGAGGTAATTATGGAGAAAAAAAACGCCGTGTTTTGCATTTTCTCACAATTAAATTAACTATGAGACTTGCATGTTTAAAGCTCAAGGGGAGACTTAAAATGGACGACTTGTCCAGGAGAAAACCATTGTTTGTTTTTTTAAGTCGGCTCATTTAAGAATGCAGTGTGGTCTGATTTAATTTTCTAATCGTTAGCCAATTGCATGTTATTTATTTTTAATTAAGCAAATTTCTTGTTCGGAGGAAAGTTGGTCGACTTCATTCCAACCCTTTTCCCACAGCTCTGTATAAATTCTATTGGACAAGTAAAAAATTAATTCCGACTCCCCGCCGAGTGCTGGCGATGGATGACGCGTCCAATTCAATTTTCGAGCGAATAAAAAACGATTTCGGGCTGACCGCCCGGTGGTTTTTATACGCGCGCTCGCTCACACTGCACGGTGGATTATTCGTGTAAAAATGAAAATGCAAAATAATGTAAGCAGAACGCGCGTGTGAGCCTGATGGATGGATTTCGTTGTTCATTTTGTACTATGCCACAGTTGTTATATATTATGCGGAACGTATAATATACGTCAAAACCAAAAATACAATTTACAATTTGTAAACCCTCCCCATGACGTGTTATATATTATAGTGTGTTATACTCACTTATTGCACCCAATATGCTGGTACCAGGTTCTGAAAGCACACAAATCATCGACGTTAGGAAAACTAGTCACCAAGTCATTTAATTATTCATATAAATAAATACAAAAATTACTGGCTCAGGTAAATTTAATTAATCCTATTATAACCAAAGACTGTTTGATTTATTTTTTAACATATTTATTTTCGACGACCAAACTATTTAAATTTTACATTTTGCACCAAATTCTTTTATTTATTTATTTTTTACAATTTTTTTTTTAAAAGTACTTGCAGTTCTTAAATATGTTAATTTTTTCATGATAATGTAATCATACGCCGGATATACTGCTTTTTATATGATAAAATTTAAGATAAAATATTATAAGTTAATGTTTTAAATATGGTAAAAATAATTATATTTAGCTGTAAAAAAATAAAAATTCAAAACATAAAAATTTTACGGTTTGCCTTTGCAACTTTCGGTGTATTTAATTAGATTAGAAGAAAATTCGGTGCGGATAATATATAATAGCCCTTGTACTACAATTCCCCAGTTGAGGTGGCACGTGATAATCAGCAGGAAAATGCGCTCATGGTGCCGGGCGGGGCAATAAAGTGGCCTGTTTGATTATGATATTATTATTTCAGCTGCAATGCAACAACCCCAGTGCCCAGGGGAAGCATTCGGAATATATGAGTTAATGTAGCGCGGGCTGTCGGACGAAATATATGGCCCGGCCAGTCAGTCATAACAAAAAGTAAGGGTGCAATCTCTCGATATTCCTCTCGCGATGGATATATATGCGGCCCATATACCTTGATACGCACCCACGAGAGAGTTATACGGCCGGACGTATATCTCGCGAGCATTACAACCCCCACAAATCTTGCTGCTCATAAATTCATAATATATATGACTGCAAGCCCGCGAGTCTCTCGAGCAGCAATCGATGATCATACACGTACAATAACTGAAATTTACTGGAGCACATCAAACTCGCCTCTGGTGAGCGCACCTCAAAGGTGTAATATAATGTAGAGAGCCGGAAAAAAAACATTGATGGCTTGTTTTAGAACTGGTATAGCACGGGCGAACATTAAGAAGCAATCAAGTCAATAAAAACTGCTTAACAAAATCACAAGTTTTATCATTTTTTAAACATTAAATATATCTAATAAGTTATAAAATTAGTTGGAAAATAAGATAATTGATAAAAAAATTAAAAATTTAGTATTTACAAGTCTAGTTTTTACTGATAAAACATCAATCATTAAATTGTAAATTGATAGAAAAGAAATTTTTGAATATCGGTATTATATTTGATTTTTTAAATAACTTTAATTTTTTTATCTATATTTTATTTTTGTGATCGATCAATTTTGCTAAGATTTAGATACAGTTTTAAATAACTTTATATTAAATCTAATTAAAATTTTAATTAATTATACAAAAGAATTGGCATAACAAAGACAAATATGTAGTAAAACTTTACCAAAATTTACAGACTGTTCGTTCGACTAAAATTAAACTTCTTTTCGCTGTTCAAACTTATCCAGCAGAGGGAAATTAGTGCAGATGGAAATATCATTTGCAGGAGGACATGTGAGGCTAAACGAGCGAGAGGCACCCCGCGCAACTAATTTCCTTTATTAAAGGCAGGCGTGTGCGCGAAGAAGTGCGAGAGCAGCTTGTGCTTTATGGTGGTGTCTATTTTTGGCCTCTCACCCCCGAGCCGGCATGTCTTTAATAATAATAAAGAGTGAACTATGACTTTATAGTGACTTAGGGGGCTGTAAAAGCGCAACCAACTTGCTCCTCGCCCTTGTTCGAAACTTTTCTTTTCCTCCTCTCGTCGCCCGGCAAAGAAGAAGAAGAAGTTTTGTAATACAAGAAAAATAAATTATTATTTTCCCCTCTCTTGTGGCCTTTTATTGCCCAGGCGAGGGAATATTACGGTCGCCAAGGACAAATATTTTGGCAGCCAATTAAAATGAAAATATTTTCGCGCTCATAAGGGTCCCGACTCGTTTATAAAAGTTATGTTTTTATATTTTTCGGACTCGTCTTTTTTATTCTGTGCGTTGGCCAGCCATATATAGAGGGGCCACACCTTGAAATATTGAAAGCTTTTATGGTTATCTTTTTGCGTCTCGTAAAAACGGCCCGATAATGTATTATATTCCCTCCGTGATATCTCTTCATCAGGCGAAGACGTCATAAGGAGGGCAGCCGCGCCACTCATAACTCTAATAAATAAGTGCGCGCGGCCCCTGCGCTGAAGAGGGACATCTGCCGCCCGCCCTCTCTTAATTTATGATTTTGATAGCTCAATTGAATAAGCCACTTTTTAATTCAATTAATTAGGAGCCAGATATGGCGGGGAAATTTTATTGCTCTTTCGCAGAAGCCGCTCTTTACTTAATTAAACTTGCCCTATTGTCAGCTATGCCTTTCAGAATATTATACAAAAGTTTAGAAATTTCCAGGGAGAGTTTGTTTTGACAGATAAGTCAACCCCTTTTTCTCTCCTTAGAATGAAATTTCATATTTATACAAAAAAAAAGAACGGAGCTTAAAAACTGTTCATTCTTCCCGCAGCCCTTTCCTTGAAGGAGCCAAGGTCGGTAGGGATGAAATATATATTTTTTCACGCTCAACAAAAAGGGTGAAAATTTACTGCCTATAGCACTGGACAAAAGAGACTTTCAGGGTGAAAGTTTGGCCGGAGCAAATTTACAACCCTTTAGACCGTGCATGACTAAAAACTGCTCTTTTCGCTTTTCCCCGAATATTTATTCCGCCTATACAGAATTCACGTTCTCACTTTGGGAGTTTATTTCGAGAAACGGTAGTGAAAAATGAAATTGACTGAAGCCAAGGTCATGCCGAGTTTTTACTTTTGCTGCTGGCGTGCTCTGTAATTTATCAAGTTTTATTGGAAACGACTGGTGAGAGCTCTGCATGTTAATTAGGCCTGACATTTTTCTGTGCAGGTTTGGAGAGGGTTTGATTAATAGTGCCTGTAGTTTCTGGAAATCAAATTTCTCCTGAAAATTTCGCATTTTTTTAAAATATCTAAATATATTTTTTTTTTAAATTTTTTGTATACACATTTCTTATGATCTTATATTTATTTTAATTTATACAAATTTTATAATAAAATTACCAAAAATGAATTTGGAACATTTTTTCAGTAAATATTATATATATTTTAAATTATGCTGTAATTATGGAATTAGTTTAATTCAAAATCATTATTCGTCTCCTATTGAAATTTAGAAAAATTATGAGTGTACAATGGATTTTCAGGAGAAAACTTTGAATCTCATTGACACCAAACAATCAAGTCAGACATGAAATATGAGATCACCCGTATGCTGGCAGCAGGCGGAGGAACGAAAAATAAATTATTAAATAACGACTGATAGCATCAAGAGGCACATGAATATTATGCGTATAATTTATTATTTTCGATGCTGCTGACAGAGGCAGGTGCTATTATCCTCTCGATATTATTGTTACATAACGCACGCGGCTTGCTCTCGTCGTCAGCAGCAAAAGGCTTCATGTGAATATATGCAGGGCGTGTGCACGTGAGTGTAAATTAGCTGCCGTTGAGTGAAGAGCCCCCGAAGCGAAATCAATTAGCGAGACTCTCTATATCGCGTTTCAAGTTACCTTTTCAAAGAGCTCTTCAGCCAAATTGTGAAAAGAAATTTCAGCTTTTGATAACCATTCATGCTGAATGTGGATTTAATTTTTTTAACAAATTGAGCAGGAAGTAGAGAAATTTGAGAGTTATTCTAATTTTTCTGAGTACACAGGAAGTGGAGTAATTTTTAAAATATCATAGTGTTCCTATTGTAAAAAAATCAACACAGTTCATTTGATGCGAGAAATTTTGGAGTTCAAATTGAAATTGAGCGCCGCAGGAACTGCTGGACAAACGAGCTGAGAGGAAGGGGAGGAGTGGCTTGTTTGATTTATTCGCCTCCGCATTTTGCATATTCCGGCCGAATATAATAAATTTCGCGCCGGCAACTTCTCCGCCATGCCTGCTCGCTCATGTCGTGCTCGCAAATAAATTAATTACCACTGCCGACGTGCCGCGCTAATGTGGGCATTAAAATTTTAATTTGAATAAATTTGCACTGACGGCGGATTTTTTGAACCAAAAGATAGAAATCAAAAAGTGTCAGATGTCGTCGGATTTCCGGCCGAATTGATTGCGCCCACCTGGTGACCTCAATTTGTCACTTCCCCATTCGGTCCGGCTCTAATTAATTCACATCCGAAATCAGTGTTAACATTTAAGGACCCTTCTTTTTCATTGAGAAACTCAAGTTAATTTTATTCTTTTGAGCAAGTGACGGACATTTGGAAATGTTGCTTGCCAAAACAAAGTTAGTTATAGTTGGCTGCTGCGCAATCTGCGAAACAAAGTATAGTTGAGCGCCAAGACAAATGGGAATAATTATTTTTAATTTATTATCAACAAATTTACATACATCTCTGCGGCAAGCAAGTGAGCGCCGAGTGGGTTCACACAGCATAATTTTTATTAGGTAGAAAAGCAGGAGCACAGGAAATTATTCATCACGGTTGCTTTTAAAACAATATCTTGCCGGGCTGTGGCAACTCTCGCGGAAGAGAATTATCTTAGAAAGGCGTTTTTTGAAAATGCATAAATTTTTTATTAAAAAAAATGTACTTTATTATAAATTTTTAAAACTTTATACTTTGAAATTTTTATTCACATTAAACAGAGAAATAGTAGCTATTTTCTAAGGATAAAATTTACTATATAATTATCTTATTTTATTTTTGTAAATAATTTTTTTTTAAGTTTTGAAGTATTTAGAGGCAAGCTGATGTGAAACTGTATTTATTTTACGTCAATAAATATTAAATAAAAATTCTAGAAGCTAGATTTTAATGGAAATATTTATTTAGACAATATAGATATCAAAACTATGGTTGGTGGCACTATTTTAATTTACAATGTTATAAATCTTTTAATTTTAAAAAAATTATAAAAGATTTGCTTTAT